GCAAAGAGATTACTGACAATACTGACTACGCTGCCGGCGAAACGTCTGGTTATATACTAAGTTCCCCGTTCCGAAGCTGGAAAGCACCCTAACTACTATAAGAGGAAGCTGGGTAAGGCATATTTTTTGAGGTTCTTTGGCAACACAACTAAGCTGAAAAAACGAGATCAAAAAGTGGCCATTATTAAGCTTCACTCTCGGCCCTATTGATAATAACTCAGCTCGGCATAAATCGAAGCAGCTATGCGAATCATTTGGCCTCATGTACCATATTACGATTCTACGAGTAACAATCTAGTTGGATTTGAAAGTTAGATAAGTCTTTGTATATATATATATATATATATATATATACCTGTGGGTATGGTGGTCGACAAAGAGTATCAGGATATACACGTTTAGCGAGTAAAGGATGAAGCAAATATGGCAGATTATTAATTACGCTAAATAGTTTGAATGTGTCAAACTGAATCATGCATTTAATGGACTTAAACAGAGAGAATCTTCATATAAATATTGTGATCATAAAATAGCCCTCATGGTGAGAATAAAAGTAATGGTTTAACTTCAGATTAGATGGATATAATGGTATCTAGCTTACCGATCTCTCCATTGGCTGGCGAGAACTGTTTCATAACGCTTTTGTACTAGCTCAATCATCTCCTCCAAACCGGCCGTGGGAAAGCCTAGGCTCTGCATGGTACGCACAAACAGCACGACAAATTCCTTGAGCCGAACCAGACCGCTAGGCCTCGAACAAGCAGCTGAATTAACTTGAGCGAATCGTAGCATTCTCTGCACTGTATTGGCCCAGAGTTCGTCCAGATAGGCCTGATAGGCTCCCAGTTTGCCAGGCAGAGTGTGTCGGAGGTGCTCGTCAACCAAGAAAAAGCCAACTAAACCGCCAAAAAACTCGCTATAGTTGGCGAGCCCAGCCAGCTGGGCAGGGGACAAACTGAGGCTAAGCTGGCATTGCTTTCGGCGCTGACTACAGTAATGTCGCTCAAAATCAGCCTGCTCATTAAGCACCGAGTGCACATGCAGGCACCGATAAACCGGACCAAAGTCGACTAGCTCCTCCAGCGTGGCACTGGCCATCAGCAAGCGAGAAGCAGCACTGCTGCTTCCGCTAGTTACGGGAGAAACTCTAGACGAAGAGCTGTCCTGGCTAGAAGAGAAAGGCGGCCCCAGATGATCAGAACCTCGAAACTCGTCAAACCGGCCGGCCTCCAGCTGTTGAAGACGTTTGCCAAGGCGAGTGAGGGATTCAAGTTCATTCTGCAGGCCATCTGGCCCAAACAAGAAAGGGGAAAAAACGCCTAAACAGCTAGCCAACAAAAATCAAATATTCACCTTAGAAATTTATCATAATTTGTATATGCGAAGAAAAGTTGGGTCTCGAGGAATCTTTTGTTTCATAATTGTTGAGCTTACTTCCATATCGAGTGAAATTGTTGGGTGAAGAGATTCGAAGGTCGGTTCCACCAGAAGACGACGGCGGATTCCTCTTGACGAGCTGTCGATTGGCTTTACTGGAGGATTCATGCTAACGCTATTTCCGAGGTGAAAAGGTGCTAAGCTATCGTCCGTGATATGACGAACATCATCAGAGCAAGGCATCATGATCACAACAAAAATCAAGCTAAAGAGTCAAGAAAACTCACCGGCAAATCCCTAACAAATCCTAACATATGACCTTAACTAACCAAATCACTTTTAAAGTGATTTGGTTAGTTAAGGTCATATGTCAACTTAGATGCATGTGAGTGTGTCTGTCTCTGTATATCTATGTGCCTGTTTGTGTTCGCTTATGCACGAAACCCAAAGTGATGGCCCAAAGTAATTAGGACAGCAAATAGGAACATCTGTTTTTGGCCATCAAGGTTTGATGAACCCTATCTCCCCCTTTCTACATTCAAGTTATAACCATCATTCCGATTGCGCAAGGTCA